TTGGTTCCAAGGTAGGGTGGATATGGTGGTGGGGTCTGAAGAAGTATGATGGGAAGCTTTTTGTATTGGTGGTGGTTCCTTTTGTTGGTGACGCCATGGCTGGCTGGACCCATAAAGAATGAGACTTTCCTTTTTTACCCAACATTATGTGTACATACATTTCTCTATTTTATATTTATATTTTCATCAAATATGATGGTGTGAAACATGATGGAAATTGAGAGGGAAAAAGAGAATTGATACGTCATGAAATTAAAACATGAATATTGGTTTGAGAGAAGAAGAATTAGGAAGTACAGATAAATTACTAAATACACATCATTCATCTAAGACATGGCTTAACTAGGTTGGCTAAATTGCGGATGTGCTAGCTCCCCATTTTGCATCCAAGTTCGAATCCCCCTCTCCATAATTTAGATTATAGTAGAATGTCGTTTGTATAAAAAAAAAAAAAACATCTAAACCTTGATGCATTTCTTGGTGCCTAATTCATTCAGGATAGAAAAAGCAAACTCTTGCCTGAAGTATACTAGGGAAATATTAATGCTTTATCATTAGAGCTTTAAGTTCACATTTTGTTTATTTTTGTTGGATTTTTTGACAAAGTTCTTGTTGAGTAGACTACACTCCCACATGAATGGATAACGTTAATATTAGGAGAAAAATCCCATCATATATGATGACAAAAGGAAAATAAAGTTAAATTGATTGCGCAAAAATAATTTGAAAAGCATGCATGATATATGAGTGAACTTTTTCCATATAAAGAATTGCATAAATTCAAAAGACTTCCCAATTGGGATCCAAGAGTGCATGATCATGAAACCAACCCACCTAAGTAATGTATGAAAAAGTTTTAAAGGTTGTTGAGAAGATGTATTATTACAAAGAAGATGATGGAACTTCCATATATATATCTTGGCTTTTTTGTTTCTTTTTTGGTTATGTTTATTTTTTGTTTTGGGTTCTTTTACATTCTATATCGTAGCTTTACATGAATGATATAAAAAAAACTTTCGAGTGCTTAACTACCAAGAAATTATATAAAGCTCCTTTCTTAAAGAGATTCAACATGCAAAACCCAATAGTAATACACCTTTGGCGTTTCACCAAATGTCCACACACATACACTTTTACACATATGGAGCGACATCATTGTCTTATATTTGCCTCATGGATCAGATTCAGATAAAACCAAATGGCTTTTTCATGCATACACCATATGTCAGGTACTTGCAAATTATTAATCCACTAGCTAGTACTATATATATATATATATATATATATATTATTCCAAACCACCCAAAATGGCCTTCAAAAAGAAAATGATTCTAAAAGGAAAAGTGTATATACCAAAGATTTTGGGGGCAATCTAATCAAAATCAAATGATGTAACAATTGAAACTTTTCGAATCATCATTCTAGCTACCAAATTTCAGAAGTTGTCACACTTTCACCACGTTTCCGTCCTCCGATCAACATTTAGGGATTTGGAGTTGATTGTAACCTAATATGAGTTGATTGTAATCTAATATGAATTACAAGGATATAATTGTGAGTTTTTAAATTGTATGGACGACATTGAAAAACCTAACAACCCAAAATAGACTTAAAATGTAATATGGACAACTTCCAATTTCGATTGTCTTTTTTTTTTTCTTTTTTTTTTATAATGCAATTTTGACTATCCTTTTGTGAGAATGTGAAGCTAAAAAGTATTATAATGGAAAGTTAGAAAACCTTACAAGAGCTTATAAGGAGTTGAGTTACTCTCTCATTGCCAATTGATTTTGGGGTAGAACCTCAACTTCCTTTATAGTGTCAGAGCAGATTGCCCACGTGTAAAAGTTCAACGGTCACACATGCTCCACATCACCCAAAATATGTTGTCTACGTGTTAAGTTTGAAAATTCACTATACGTACGAGAATGTGTGAGAATGTGAAGGGAAAAAATTTCACATTTGAAAGTTAAAAAACCTTACAAAGGCTTATAAAGAATTGAAATTACACTTTCCATTACAAATTAAATTTGGAGTGAAACCTCAATTTAATTCACCTTTTACTTGGTGGGGACTCTGTTCCTTCTCAGAATGACCCCAGTTCATGTGGATATGAAAGATTTTGCGCTACAATTTCTGTTTCCGGCACGTGGTTCTCATTTGGAAGTATTATATACAAGTTTTCGGACATAAACTAAAGTTTCTTAAAACGTATGATCTTGTTTAACGTGTATATATACATGTCATAAGCAAAGACTTTCATATTTATTTATTCATTTATTGCTTTTCAATCCATTTCTGTGCTAGCTGTGCTCACTCTGAAGTTACCAAAGTAAATTATCAGAGGAGCTCTCAGCTAGGACTTGTAGACATGACCATATAGCTTTTCTTGGTTGGCTGAGAGTCTACAAGAAAATGAATGACAACACCTATAACCACCATAGTCACGTGATTTGTGGTCAATTCGTGACCAATCCGTGACCAAAGATCCCACAGGTTGTCTTATATTGAGGTTTTCTAGTAGTGCATCTTGCATCCTCATCAGTACTGTTAAATTTCGTTTTTCACTGTTTCATCATCATCAATTCTATGGTAATGGAAATTTGTTTGATTATTTCAGCAAAATTATAAAATGCAGTTAATTATTATAGCTTTTACAGAAAATATGATGTTCTAATTATATTGCAGCTGGTTTCCCATAGCTAAAAGAGGAGAGGCTAATCAATCCAAAAAAAAAAAAAAAGAGAAGGAGAGACTATATATAATCTCTCTCTCACACACACACACATTTCTGATGAAGTCTTTTACTCACATTTCTTCTTCTTTTTTTGAAGTTTAGCCAATAAATATCATTACACAGTTGTGCAAATCGAAGAAAACATCTAATATATGTACTTGTCAGTTATCAATGTCTCATCAAAGACGATTAAAGTGGAGTTTGAAAATTCAAGACAGAAAGCATGCAGACAATTGAGATCAGCTCTAAACTCGTTATCCTATCTAGTATCCTAATGAATGGTTGCCCTAACTCCACGATCAGACATTGCCATCCTCTGATCTATAGGGAGTGTACTTTCATTGCATGTGACAGTTTTAAGGGCACTAAAAGAAAAAGGTACTGTCGGCACAGGCCAGCTGAGCTTAAATATAATTAGCTCTTGTTGAAAGATTTCGTTGATAATGACTCCACAAAAGTTAATAAATTAAGAGCTCCGGGTCATTGAGGGCTAACTATATATTATAAAAATAAGCGAAAAGGACAACCAAAAGTTATAGTCAAGACGACCTCTAATGACTATTTTGTATAGTGACATTCAGTCTCTACTATTTTTTACATGAGGTTATAATTGAGACTCGAAACGGTTAATTGGTGTGAATGTGTATAGCTATAAGGGTTATTGATGATAAGTCGATAACATGTTTCAGTGGTGGTGAGAGCACAGTACGTACATAGAGATGAAGAAGGAGGATTTTGTAGTTATTAATAACTTTCAAATTAAAATGTAGGGCGGTGTGCATGTTGGGGTAGCATATGAGATGAGACCCCCCCTACATATATAGAGCTCTGTAAGGTACCCGCCAGGCTCCGCAGCCCACTTGCAGTACTATTTACCTTTCCTTCTGTGTGTCTTTGTGTTTCATAAATTCAGATGGCCTTACGGAAGATTTTGGTTCAGAGTCGCAGATATTTTGGTCCCAGAAGCATGAACGGTAAATGATACGGAATCCATATTACTTTTAGAGAGTTAATGCGTCCCACATATGCATGTACCGTGTACGGCATGTTTCCCTTCTTGTATTACTCTCGATGCTATATATGGTCATTAACGCAAGTAGAAAAAGGCCAGACGTCATATTCCAAAGTTGAAATTGCCGATGGAATAAAAGACGAACCTGTACAACTATGTAAAAAACATGCAAAATGTATTTATATATTCACCCGTGAGCTAAATACGTGGCAGCTGTGTGTATCAGCACGAAATTTATCTTTTGTTATTGACTTAGTTTGATATACATTGTTAACTTATTTTCCGAGAGCTTGAACTTTTGGGATCTAGTGGTCGTCTAATATTGTATCAAAGCTCTAGTTCCGGGAGGTCCTAGCATGCCTTGTAATGTATGTGTCTCAGACCATAGATGCATATGGGATCGGTGAGTGTTAGGATAGACAAGTAGTGGAATTGCTGAAAAAGGAGGACAAAATTGGAGAGAATTCAAGTTTTTTTTCTTAACCCTAAGGCTAGCTAATAACTACAGACGACACAAAGAGATGCTTCTTGTAGATGTGAGATTTTATCTCTGTAAGTTTTAAAGTGATCAACCACTTAAAAGGCAGCTAGACTGTCATGGATTTGACTCATCTCCAACTGGCATGTTTTCCTACCTGTATATGGGGCCCACCCAAATCTCACCTGATTATTGCCAAAGTGTCTTCTGCAGGAGATTTACACGGTGAGTGAGCTATAGCCAGTTCCACATTGCTTGGATGGATCAGTTCTATCATTCCATTTTAATCCTCTCATTTTAATTGTTTTGATTAGTGCCATATGTTGTTTCCATTTTATAAAACTATAAAATTAATTTCATTTTAAATAAAATGGTTTAAACAAAGTTTGGTCATCTGTTGTCTGTGTTCTTTGTGAGACTGAGAGAGAGAGAGAGAGAGAGAGAGAGAAAGAGAGAGTAACGATATTAACTACCTACCACAAGCATACATTATGAACTAGGGGAATTTTGCAGAATAAAAAAGGGACAAAAAGAGACAAACACAAACACAAAATGGAGAAATTCTGATAACAGCTGAAGAGATCCAATATTATAATTAATTAAAGCTTTAATGATAGATTTAAGTAGCCACCCAAAAAGGCTCCCAGTTTAATAACCCTTTCTTCTCATGCTCACCACCTTCTTTGCACCTGCTTGGCCTTCCAAACTTGTCCATTCCCTCATCACCCCCAACCTTCAAACTATTGCCATCCACCTCCTCAGCTTCAATCAAACACACACATTTTTCACTTTCATCATCATCACCTTCTAATTGTTCTAGAAAATCTTCTTCTTTATTTTCTCCCACTACTTCTTGGTCTTGCTGTTCTGCTTCTTCTTCTTCCTCACTCCTGTCATTTTCACATCCTTCATTGTCATCTTGAGTGGCAATTTCGTCGGAGTCAAAATTAGGAGCAAAGTGTTTTGAAAAGCATAATCGAAGGCGGCCATTGCTCCTTTCAGCTTGGAAACATGATTGAGTAGTTGGGGCCTTGACAGCCTTCATTATGAGCCTCCCATCTTCCCTGTGGGGTCTAACCTGGATAGAATCCGAGCCGCTTATCGTTGTCAAGGGAGGTGGAAAGCTATGAACAACATTACCCTTCTTTCCACCCGAAAATTGCCGCTGTTTTTGTTGCTCCCTGGGCATCACATTCTTGCCTTTTGCTTCTGCCTCAGAATCTGATGAGAAAATGTTGTCTTCTGTGATGATGGTGCCAGTCTCACTGCCCAGGTCTTCAGTGCACAATTCCAAGCTCTTCTCAGTCAGCTTAGTAGCTGATGGGGTCTTATAAACCTGTGGAGGGATGTACATATTTTCTTTGTCCCCCTTATGAGGGTCTTGCTGTGAGATATTGGAGACAGCTTGGAGGAAGCTCCAGCCACCCAAATCAGAGGTTTTGGAGGTGGCCTTGTTATTGTCATGGACATCAACAGGCTTATTGATGTAGGGCTCCTCATAATGGCATTTCTCTTCCCTTGGCTCTTCTATATAGTTAGCCTCTGGAAACCAAGATTTAACTCCAGGATTTGGGGAGAAGTAATGAGCTACTGGTGCAGAGAACTTCAGTCTCAGTGTCCTTGGCTCCACAAGATGAGAGTCTAGGCATGACTGCAAACCTTGACACACAATTGTCGCCATGTAAAATTAGAAATGGGGACTTAAAATTTTTGGTAGAAAAAAGAAATGAAAGGAGAGAGCGGAAGACAAAGAATGGAGATGAGTTTCTTGGGGTTAGAATGAAAAAGGGTCTTGCTGGTTTTGTGATGTTTGAGAAACAGGGGAAAAGCAGAGGACTCTGTTTTGCTGGTTAGAATGGAGAGGTTCTTGTGTTGTTGAATTGTTTGGAGAGAGAGAGAGAGAGAGAGAGAGAGAGAGAGAGGAGAAGAAGAATAAGAAGAAGAAGAAGAAGAAGAAGAAGAAGAAGAAGAATAAGAAGAGAGGAGGAAGGCGAGGGGATTGAGCATGAGTGATAGGAGGGGTGTGGCGTGGGTATTTGTAGTCCTCCAAAGTGGAAGGCATATAGCTTTGAGGGGAGAGAGGTAGGCAGGGGGGCCTTTTTTACGCCACTTGAATTATACAATTCTTAGTATTGGTACAACTACAACTAGAAATGAAAAAGAATTTTTATTTTTATTTTTTAAGTGAAAAAAGGGCCCTTTTAAGTTTTTTTATTATATAAAAAACCCCTGTTAAATTTTTTATTTCTTTCTTTAATCTTGAGTTAATTTGGAGAATTTGAATTTTAGCACAAGAAATATTATAGAAATTGGGTCTAATAAGAATGTCTTTATATGTGCTTACATGAATGTAGTTAAAGAGAGAGACAGATGGAATTTAACATTTCTCCGGAATTCAGCTTTCCTATTCTTTTCCAAGTGAAAGCCAACAAAGGGCAAGGAAGAAAAGGATTCCCCCAAATATTTTCTTGATAGTGATTGCTTCTTTGTGAATGATAAAGTTTATTTATTTATTAAATAATTCAACACTATCTACTGACCAGTGTGTTTATGTACGATCCATATGCTACACGAGTCTTGCATTCAAAATAGAACAATTAAAGAGAGAAAAAAAAGAGAAGAAAAAGACATGCATCAGCACACACCCTTTGAAATTTCTAAGAAGTGGAATTATTAGATTGCACCCTATTTCTATATTATGCTGACCACATATTATATTCACATATTATATATATGGGGGACATGTTTTGATGCACCAGATAATGTTGTACTTACAAAAAAAAGTATTCTCTTATCGCACAGTTTGACAATATATATAAAAAATTTCATGTTAAATTAAATATACTGCGCCAATTAAGTTGATTCTTAAATAATTATCTGACAAATTAAATATATGGCGTCGATTAAGTTGATTTTTAAATAATTATCTGACAAGAGAACATTACTCTCTATTAGAAAGTCGAAAGCTATGTATTATTCCAAACCCGATCAAGATGATTGCATGTATCAATCATTATGCTTGGGGAAAACAAAAAAGGAAAAAAAAAATTAGTGTCTGCAGGCGACAGAATCTGATGGGCATATTTTCCTATGGGGATTTGAAATAAGGGGGGAGGTGTGAGTCCCACCCAATATGACGCTTAGTCAATCTTGTGTTCAAATATAGTCATAATCATGCCTCATGCCTGCTACAAATATTGTCAACAATATCATGTTTTTCGGTTTAAAATTTGCAACTTACCCACCAAACATTTTCATTGGTATTGTTTTTCCATCTCAATTACAACCTTTGAAATTTGAAAGAATCTCAAGGTACAGCCTTTCATTACTTTTTAAATTATTTTTCTTTCTTTCTTTGAATACTTCCAGCTTGGTATTTGTACGTTGGGTGTGTGCTTAACATTATTATGTTCCTGAGGGCCGTGACTTTGCATCAAATTAGGGTTTAATAAACGTGTCATTTAAGGGTTGACTCGCTAAATGGTAGCAAATAAAAAATCCTAAATTTTGATAATTTAATAAAATAATTGCTTTTTTATATTTTTTATATATAAAATAGTGATTGTATTTTGCCTCTCTCTATGTATGAAGATTGAGAAAAAGAAATAAAAGAAATAACAAAGAAAACGAAGAAGAAACAAAGTAATGAATTGGCAGATTACATAGATATTTTAGCGGATTGGTGAATTGACCCGAAACTCACTTGTTTATAAACAGGTCAGTAGCAGATTGACTCAAAAATGACTTGGAAATCTAATCGTGCGAGTTAACATGCTATTTTTCAATGCAGATTTTGAGTCATGTATCGGATCGTATAAAAAATTATCACCCCTACATCAAACCCAAAAGGCCATGCAGCTGTGCATATTGTCTGTGGCCAATTCACTAAGTGTACGGACATTTTAAGCAGACATGTTTAAAAGCTTGCTAGCTAGCTAGCTAGCTCCTTTGAAAAGGAAGGAAGTGATCCTCCACCAAGTTACCCTTTTGTTTGTCGGCTACGTGCTTCCCTATGGAACCCTAAAAAAAAAAAATTTCTTTCTTTCTCTTTCTCAAGAGATAAACTTTCTTGCCACGCGGCGGCAAGATGAATGATATGCAAATATGACCTATAATTTTTATTTAAAATTCAAATTTCGTAACACATATTATGTTTTAACTGGATAATACTTGTCGACACCATAAAAGATGGGATCAAAGGCCAGCTTAGTGTGAGGAGAATGGAAAACCAGCTCAAGCTAATGAGGAAGAACCACTTGCGCGCGCGCACACAACCCTGAACCATGTGGGAAGACAACAAATGACCTACCCTAAATGCTAAAGGCATGCCTAGGAGTCTAGGACCACTACCCTACAAATGTTGCTTTTAGGACTATAGGGGGCGATTGTGGCTGTGGGTTTCCCAGTTTAGAAATGTAGGGCAGAAAGTTTGTTCAATTGGAGGGAAAAGTAAAAAGAAAGCAGCCGGCAATCAAAATTTTTATATATGCATCTGCTGCCATTTGCACGTTGCCTTGTGTTTTATGATTTATGCTGACCAACAGCAATCTGTATAATATTAGCAAAATTGGATCACACTGACATCAAAAGTGAACTGTTTTCAAATAATTTTATCATATAAATCACCGACCTCTTTTTGGTCAAGTGCATGCTACTAAGGCATTCTATATATTTTTTATTTCTTGGCTACCATTGAAATCAGAGGTCCAAGAGGCACAAGAGGCCAAGACTATATGCATGAGAGTGATGCTGAGTTGCTGAGCTGACTTTACTTTGGCTTATCAGATAATAGGAACTCCCCCAACCAAAGAAAATCGATCACTAATGCTAATGGGATGATTAAATATAGAAAAGCAAATTAGCATAAGAAATCACTAGATGCTATCTATTTACTAAGAGAATGTTCTGTAACGTCATTGTTTCCGCTTCTCTTTCAATAATTTATATTTTAATGACTATTTTATAATGCTAATAGTAACTCAATTCCTCTTGGGGAATGCTAGCAACATTCTCTCTAACTTTCTCTTTCGGACCTTCTTTTTTTTTTGCTTGACATGTGTTATTCTCTTTATACTTAAAACAATGTCATTAATATATTATACAAACTAACTGTTGCTTTCCAAGTTTACCCTTATTAAATGTACCAAAAAAATTTCACAACTTTCTTACAATCTTATTAATTTTTTTTATAAAGGAAATGTCTACTTTATAAAAAAAATAATAATAATAATAAAAAAGAAGAGGAAATTTCCCTTTTTTTTAACGTCAAATTTAGACTTTTTTTTAATTAAAAAAAGGACATTTCCTCTTTTTTAAAAAAGCAAACATTTTCTTTATTAAAAAATAATTGACGTTAAAAAAATTTAATAAGATGGCAAGAAAGTTGTGAAATTTTTTTAGATAAATTGAATACATTTAATAAGGGTAAACTTGAAAAGCAAAAGTTAGCTTGTATAATATATTAATGACATTGTTTTAAGTGTGAGGAGAATGACACATGTCAAGCAAAAAATGGATAAGGTCCAAAAAAGAAAGTTAGAGAGAAGATTGCTAGCATTCCTCATTCCTCTTAATCAAAGTTTTCATGCCACTTACTAGCAGGCTTGTCTTGCCTCAAGTAAGTGATTTTCATTTTGGTTTCTTTGGAGCCAACTTTTTGCAAATTTCACTTATATATTATTTTATTGAGAAATTAAGATAATTTTCCTCTAAAATATACTTTAATTGTTACTTAATTAAAACATGGTAGACGTGCTTTCATTAATTCCTTAAAAAAAAGAAAAATATCATGTCTTCTTTCTCTTTTTTCTATGATGTAGTGAAATACATCATTCTTGACCAGAAAATGAAAGACATCACTCCATAATTAATTCGTAGAAAAGTCAGCATATTAGAATGTATAATTAAGATATAGCCTAAAAGTGAATACAGTAGATTCTCGGGACATTTTGGAAAAGACCAATGGAGAGAGAAATATTTTGAAAAGAAGCCAAAATGGACAAAAATACCCTTATTTATTTTTGGATTTCCTAAGGAATTCTTTACATTTACATGTTTTTGGTTTGAAAGTTGATGGGTTTTTCTATCTTTTTAGAAAAAAATTTGGCTTTTTCCAAAAATTAAAGTTTTTTTGTGGCTAAAACCTAAATTTACCTAGATTCTCACTAAAAAAATTTGATGTAAAAGAATTGTGGATAGCAACCCATTTACTGTTCAAGCAAAATTTGGATAGAAACTCATGGATCCTTTCGTCACCAATGAGATATTCTGGCTCAAAATTTGGAGCCAGTTGTATATGACTATCCAAACAACTAAACCAGGTCAAATACCATGTACTATGATGCTCCAATGCTATTAATCCATATCCAAAGGAAAATTAACCATCTAATAATATCTCTCATCCACCTGTTCAATCTTATCCCACTTTAATTTCTTAGTTAAGATTTCTAGCTTGAGGACATGTGCTCATAGATGACTCCATCTTAAAGTAAATACTCCCACAAAACCTGAATTTAATAACCTTTTGGTATCATACTTTTTTTCCGTCTCTTAAGGCCCGTTTAGCAGAAAACTTTATGTGCTTTCGGGTCACAAAAGTGCTTTTTAAAGATGCTCTTCAAAACTCTTATGCAGAGACACTTCTAGAAAAACACTTACTTTCCTACAAATACAGTCTCAAACGAACCCTTAGTTAGTCCAAAAGCTAGCTTCGTCGACAAGCTAATTGAATGGCAAAGAGAGCATTGCAAGTATGCATCAGAATCTGCGTCTTTTACTCCAAATTAAATTTGTTGACAGGCGCAGACAGAGAGAGAGAGAGGGCGATAATTTTGCATCAGATTCCATCATAGATTTCTGAGATTTTGTATTGGGAGAGAATCTTTAAGAAAGTAAACGTCATGTCCCTTTGGCTTTAAGTGAAAGCC